TTGCCACAGGTGAGTTTCACACGAGCATCATATGCTTGAAATAAAACGATTTACCCACAATTTTGAATAAGTGCCAATAATTTTGTCCGGCCAATTTTTGGAGTTCTGTGTGAAAAGATGTCAAATTTGGCTTTTTTTCTAATTTTTTTGTGCTGATCCAATGCACATAAAGGAAATAAACAGGTGTATACCAAAACATTTCTAATTGGAACAATTTTCTGGGAGAAATGGTGCATTTTCTGGAAAAATGCTAGGGGTGCCGATAATTTCAGCCATGACTGTAGGCTTTAATATGGAGTTACAGTAGCCCACCCATTGCAGCTATGTTGGAACAGAAAAGGGCCATTCCCAAACTGTTCCCACAAATTTTGGAGCATGAAATTGTCCAAAATGGCTTTGAATGCTGCAGCATTAAGAGTTCTTTTCACTGGAACAACCCCAAACCATTAGCCCCCCCCCCCCCACTACAAACTTTACACTTGGCACAATGCAGTCAGGTAAGTACCGATCACCTGGCAACTGCCAAACACAGACTTGTCCACCGGATTGTCAGACAGAGAAGTGTGATTCATCACTCCAGAGAACTCATCTCCACTGCTCCACTCCATCTCCAGTGGCGGTGTGCTTTACACCACTGCATTCGACGGTTTGCATTGCACTTGGCGATGTTAGGCTTGGATGCAGCTTCTTGGCCATGGAAACCCATTCCATGAAGTTCTCTACACACTGTTCTTGAGCTAATCTGAGGGCCACATGACGTTTGGAGGTCTGTAGCTATTGACTCTGCAGACAGTTGGCGACTTCTGTACACTGTGTGCCTCAGCATTCGTTGTCCCCGCTCTGTGATTTTACCTGGTCTACCACTTTGTGGCTGAGTAGCTGTTGTTCTCAATTGCTTCCACTTTGTTATCATACCACTAACAGTTGACTGTGGAATATTTAGTATCAAGGAAATTTCATGAATGGACTTATTGCACAGGTGGCATCCTATCATGGTACCACACTTCAATTCACTGAGCTCCTGAGAGTGACCCATTCTTTCGCAAATGTTTGTAGAACAGTCTGCATGCCTACAGTAGGTGCTTGTTTTTATAGACCTGTGGCTATGGAAGTGATTGGAATACCTGAATTCAATGATTTGGAGGAGTGTCCCAATACTTTTGGCAATATAGTGTATGTTTGTTGCAACACAATGAGAAATGCATGTAATATATTTAAAGTCACTAAAATAACACCAATAATTCTAGCACTGGCCTCTATCAGGACTATCTCTTGACCAGATGTCAGCATGGCCAGTGGATATACTTGAGTATTAAGACGGATCTTAAAGTGACAAAACAGAACAGGTAGTACATTTGGGATTAAAGATGTCTAGGTTATCGATTAGGATGGGAGAAGCACTTCATAATCTGTGACTTTCTGTGCCATGAGCTCTTAGACTCACGACGTGGAGAATGAATGATCATTGATTTTGAACAACAAGCAGCATTAAGATTCTGAATGGTTTCTGAAATCCAATAACAGGTTCTAGCTATCATTCTTATTGTTAACTTTATTTTTTAATGTCATTCGCCAGTCTTAGTGACATCAAACAAATAGACTGCATCTTTTTTTCTGCAAGCAGAGGAGAACAGCCCTTACTCACCTGTGTTTTGAGGTAGAGCTAAAGATATGAGTTAAAGCTTATAAATACAAGTGCCCTTATCATGGCATTATCATGTTAGTATGTTTGTACTGGATTGTATTTTCAGTGTATTTCTATATGGTACATTGATGGTATGATGATTGGCTTACTCGCTTTAACTCAATTGTTGTCTAATTATGTACATAACTCCTTTTTTAATTATTTGTTTTTATTGTTAGCCTTTTATGTACTACGTAAGGTGACCTTGGGTTTTAGAAAGGCGCCCACAAATAAAATCTATTACAATAATAATAATAATTATTATTATTGTTATTATTATTATATACATATGGTATAAAGCTCTGGAAAAAATTAAGAGACCACTCCATATTTTTTAAAAGTCTGCATTGTTTAATCTTGGTTTTATCCTGGTTCTGCTGGCATAAGGCTGTGCTGAGCAGCAGGTTGCTTCCAGGTTCACAATTTCTAAGACAGCAGTATAGAAGAACAATGAGAAGCAGGAGACACTGGGAATGACCAAAAGCCAGCCAGGCAGAAGGCAGAAGACACTTTCTAATGCCAGAGATGACCATCAACTTGTCCAACAGTGCCTCATGAATCAGAGGATGACAACAAGTGGCAACAAGGAATGGGTGGTGTGAAGTGCAATGCCAAGACATGTTTGTAACAGGCTTCTAAAAGCAGGACTGAAGCCCCATAAAACAAGGAAGAAGCCCTTCATTAATGAGAAACAGAGATGAGCAGGGTTGGAATTACAAATAAATGTATATTTTACACAGAAGCATACCCATAAATTGAAAAATGAGTGAAACTAAAAATATTGCTGTGGTCTCTTAATTTTTCTCAGAGCTGTATGTTTCTAGTATTTGATGCATTGCGTCTCAACATCAATGTTGAAAATAAGCTTATGTTATCATAGAACGGCATATTTAAAAACACGCTATTACTATGGTACAATACAAAATGCTTAATGCATTACCATTATATTTTAACTGAAGATACATTGTAATATTATGTAGTATACCATGGTGTATAGGTGCCCAAATTACCATTGTTTTACCATAGTGGTCAATGATGATAATACCATAGTACTTTTTTGTAAGGGTGAAAGGGTGAGAAAGGTTACTTCCTCAGCTCCTGAAATGGAAATTTCATCTCTGAAATTCAGCTCCAATATCCTTTTTAACTTCCATCTTCTTCCATATCATCTGCTGCTGATAGTGACTCTTTTGTTACTGAGGTTGATGACAAAAGTAAATGATTAAACAATCAATCTGATCTAAGGATTGTCTTTACGTCTTGCAGTATAGCTATCTGCTTTGAAGAATAACTGATCATGGGGCTATTCTGACGTTTGTCAGCATGGACATTCATTAGAAGGTTCAAAGTAGGATGGTGTACTGTACATGTGAGCAATAAGTTGCTGGAATTAATCACTTAGGTGGGGACCAGTACAACATCACTAACCTGATCAATCACTTTTTTTGGTAGAAATTATATTTTAAATAATTTACTAGTAGGTGTAGTAGAGTAATGGAATACCAACAGACCCAACAGTCATGACGTGCATGCTGCTGATTCTGTGTAATTGAATCATTAATTGAAAGGGGTGTGTTCAAAATAATAGCAGTGTAGGTGCCAATTATGGACCTTTTTTAAGGAAGGAAGGCAGCAAATGTTGTACATGCTGGTTATAGTGCATTTCTCTCTGAAATTCTGAGTAAAATGGCTCGCTCCAGACATTGTTCAGAAGAACAGTGTACCTTGAATAAAAAGTTGATTGGAGAGGGGAAAACATATAAAGAAGTGCAGAAAATGACAGGCTGGTCAGTTAAAATGATTGCAAATGCTTTAAAATGGCAACCAAAACCTGAAAGACGTGGAAGAAAACGGAAAACTGCCATTCGAATGGATCGGAGAATAGCCAAGATGGCAAAGCTCCAGGAAGATCAAAGAAGGGTAAAGTTACCTGTAAGTACTGTTACAATTAGAAGATACCTATGTGAAGCCAAGCTATTGGCAAGAAGCCCCTGCAAAATCCCATTGCTGAAAAAAAGACACGTGCTGAAGAGATTATAATTTGCGAAAGAACACATTGACTGGCCTAAAGTGAAACGCCACAACATTTTGTGGACTGATGAAAGCAAGATTGTTCTTTTTGGGTCTAGGGGCCCCAGACAGTTTGTCAAATGACCTCCAAACACTGAATTCAAGCCACAGTACACTGTGAAGACATGTGCTTTATGTATGTATTGTAATGCATTATGAATGTCTTTATAAATTGCTAAAAACATGGCCTTAAGTAAAGTGTTACCAGAAGAGTATTGATATTTCATTCATTAGGGCACCAGTTCCTTCATACCTACTGGCCCTAGGCCTTTTTCTCCACTGTGCCCCCATCTCATTTTGTCACTGGATTTCGGCCTTTACAATTTTTCTCTATGCAGCTCTGGGCTAAGCCTTTCGCTTTTGTCTTCAGATGTCCGACGGGCAGCCTCACAATGCTGGAATACTCTTACCAGTTAAATAGTCAATGGCATCTATTCAGTATGTTTCTTCGATAGTTTCCACTTTCTTTGTCGAGCAGGTTTGCTGTGCATTTCCAGCTGGATTGGTACTGGTAAATAATTCCAAAATCAGCATTCGAAATGCTCGAATTTAGTCCGTCACTCTCCAGCATTCTGATCTGCACCCCTGGTAGAGTTTGGCTGTTGTTCTGCATTGTTTCAACTTTGCTGATCTTTTGTTTTGGCACTACGAGGTAAGAAAACCAGTCACAATGGGGCATTAACAGCACAGCACAGACTAATATGGAAAGCATGTCTTCCACACTCACTGCACATATTGTTGCTACAATTAATTACTTCTGTACAGCACTGCCAATGTTCAAAATGAAAATTCAGATGGTGCCAGAATTGTTGAATTAGCTGTCTGATTTTCATTAAGCTTTAAGTTCATTTGTCATACGGTCCTACTTAAAGCAACATGTAGAATAAGAGAAGAAAACATTTTGTTTTACATATTTAGATGTGGGCGATGACAAGCGTGTAGAAATTAATCATGAATAAGACCTTTTACTGACTCAAGAATAAGTTAATCAAATACAAGAGTGTGCAAAAGTCTTAGGCAGTCAAAGGAAACATTTAAAGGTATTTATCATAGGGTTAGGTAATGGTTTTCAAAAAAAGAAAACGAAATAAAGACTGCAATGAATAATACAACATGAACTAAAATTAAATATTTAATAAAAGTAAAATCAGCTTTGCTTTCGTTTTTTACCCCCTCGATTTGCACTGTGGTTGTGTGTTGCAGTTTATGTCACACTGCCCCGCCCACAGAGAGCAAAGACCGTGGTCCGCCATGTTGGTGCATTGTTTGTCTGGTCGAGGTACGGTGCTTGTATATACTGTTTGTCAAGTTTGTGTGTCCTGTTTTCAGTTGGACTAACAACAGTGTTCACGACACAGGTAAAGGATTCTTCAGGATTCCAACAAATAACTGTGATTCAGAGAGGAGAGATTAAGTCCTATTTAGTGAGCACCGCTGCACATTTTCTCCATTCTCTTTGTCTCACAGACACACAAATGTGCAGTGATTATATAAATGAAAATTTACTTCTTTAAGCTGTTCTTTGGTTAAAATATCAGACTATTGCTAGATGGAAACCAGTTACCATGCTTTGTGTAATGGTTTGCCATTAGATTTATGTTTATGAATTATACTTTTTCCTATGTATATTGTAAAGGTTAAAACAGGTCTAGTGGCATTGTAGATTACTGTTAGAATCTTTCACATATTCAGTGTTGAGTGAAATGTTATTGATTTTGGCATTTTGAGTGTTTTGAGTGTTTTTGAAATTGGTGTATTAAACCTTGTTTCAGCATTCCCTTAACACATTGTACAACAACTGTCTGATTGCTTTACTTTAATATTTATAGGAGTAATTTCTCCCTCTCTAAGCACTACTCCCCTGTTGGTTTTCACTGGGGGACACCCAGGTAGACTTTACGTTCTCCAAAAGTACCAAATCCCATCAAGTCTGTGCATATTGTAATCAGGGACTGGGAACATCAATAAACCAGGTCCTCCATAGCTATAAAACATGATAATGTTACAGGAAAAAGTCGAGGGGTTTGGAAGAGAATGTTAAGGCAAGAAACCAAAGTGCTTCACATGTTCTTCTTGGCTGTTTCAAGTGCAGGGTGAAAGCATGTAAATGTTCATAAAATAAAAATGTAACTAAAGCTATTTGTGAATTCTTAAAAGAAACTGAAACTAAAACTGAAGAGCAAAATGGAAAACTAAATAAAAATAAAAACTAATGCAAATTTGAAAACTATTATAACCCTGCTGGGTATTTGCTGTTACTTCCCAAGAAAAATAGTTTGTTGTTGACTTCCTCAATCCTGCTCCCTTGATGTGACAGTGCATATCTCCTTTTAAAATTAGTGTTCACGTCACCAAGCCATTCTAAGGCTCCTGTGTGAATAGCAGCAGTGTCTCAGCCTTCGTGCCTCTTCCCAAGAGTGTTTCCCCACATTACAAACTCCAAGCCAGCATTGTGCTGAGAGAGTCGGCTTATTGTTATGCTAGTGTTATTTTCCATACCCAAAGCAGACATATGCGGCTGAAAAAATATAGCAAAACAGGGATCTGGACAGCCAATTATGGAACAAACCCAGTGCTGGTCTGTTGTTGTCCAGGCTACACAAATACTTGCTGTAGGTGGTTTGCAATTTGCAGATCCTCTTTGTGGTTCGTTTTCCTGTCTCACACAATGATGGACTATCAGATGGTGCCTTCTGCCATGAAAGGACAAGGTCTTATGTGTAACTAATGGTGTCCTTAATTTGTGCTAATGGTGATTTGATTGCAAGGCTTGCCTTGAAAAGCAATTAGAATATGATATGAATATTTTATGGTGGCGAGTCTCCTGATGGAGAAGAGTCTGTATACAAATCAGGTGCTGTTGAAAAAGAGGCTTTTCGATCCTCGAGCTGCGGCAGAAGTGTGGGACAGGAGCCACTCTGCTTTGCATACGTCGCCTTATCGTCACGATCCAAAGCCTGCAGAGGATTTTGAATAAAGCCATACTGAGGGCTGGGCGGCTTCTGCTCGTGGCATACAGTCATCTCTGACGTGTCTCAAATCACAAGTGTCGCGGGTTGTAATCACGGGTCGTGTGTGCTTCAAGCAGGTAATTTCACTTACACTAATTAGCGAAACTGGCCAATTAAACCTAGCTCATATATATTCATTAGCTCTTTAGATCCAGATTTGATTAACTTGAAGGATCATAAGTCTCAAGCTAGATGTTGCTCTCAGTAACAGGGTTCAAAAAGATGGTTCCTTTTTTTTCCACTTTCCCCGACACCTCTAGCGCCATACTCAGAAAAGGTTGATTGCAGTGCAGTTAAGGGAATCAAAATAAAATATTTGTTGAGTTGGATGTAATTAACTTATGAAATTAACTTATGCATATGTATTACCCTGTACATTTCTGCTGTTAGCCACTGATATCAATTCCAGAGGCCGGGCCATGTTGTTTGGCTAATCGGTAGAGGCGTTGGAGCTAATGAGAACTAATGAGGACTAATACCATTTAATTTAGGGTTTTTGAAGCAATGCCAATTACTTGTAAACATTGCCATTATTTCAGAGTTGGGAAGCTCTGGCCTTTGGTAGATGTGTGTGCTGCTGACTGCTTCCAATACGACTGATGAGCAACACATAACATGATGAGTGAATGAAATGGGCCACATGTGACAGGCAACAAGAGCAGATGGTTAGCAAATGACAATGAAGGGTTTAAAACTGCACCAATTCGCACCTCAATATGTAAAACTAAATTTTGGAGACATTTCAAAACTGCTCAGTTGAATGAGTACTTTATAATTCCATTTTCAGTTATGCGTAAGCTTGTTCTGCGTGTTTGAAATAGTATTTTCAAGAGTGAATGTGAGGTCTACAGAGGTCATCTCTCTCTGCTTTTTAAATAGCAGTTTATAGAGTTAGTGTATTGTTACCATTTAATGACACCACAAAGACAGATAATATCATTTGGAACACCAAATGTTACTTTGACTGAGTATTGAGTTACATTCAGCAGTGTCTCAATTGTGTATCTTTGAAGAATTTAGATTTGAAGTGTGTAATTGTGTCCTTGGGGGTCTGAACTAACGGTGAAATGTATGAAGCATAATTAGGGCTAAAAAACAGAATCTTCATGTGGCTTTCATCTTTATGCTTTATAGGTTTGGGGTCTGTGCAAGCTAGCATTTAAGGTAGCACATTTTCAGAGAAAATACATGCAGTTTATTGAGTACACCTAGGCGGTACCCATTTTGTCTCCTGAACCATCTCAAGGGTAGATGAAGATGTGTGTTCAGGTCAGAGCCCGCCCACTCGACAGGTGGCACAGGCAATCAGCCAATCAGGAATACCGAATACCTGGTACAGGTGCACTGAGAGCTGGGAGGGAGCAAAAACTTGGACTGTCCGGGGTTCCCTGAGGACTGGGTTGGCTTAGGGCATCATTTGATTAGGAGGCGCAAAATAACGACTGAAAAAAATCTGAAGAAATATCTCTGGTTGCATTCTGTGACATTAGAGTTATTTACAATAGTTTTAATATTGCACTGTTTTTCTTATGAAACAGATGCTAGCTTGCTCATTAGCAGCCGAATAACCTTTTTAATATAAACAAACTGACAAAATTTGTTTTCTGCTGCCAGACCACCTTGGGCCAGCCCTGGTTCAGGTAAGACATTATGTAGATAACTCTTTTGCATTAGCAAACAGGTGCTAAATGCCTAGATATTATTGTCACCATACTCTGGGCTGGTGTCTGACACCCTCATGGCTGATGAGTTTCAGTTTCCAGCACCACAGGAGAACATGCTGTCAAGTCCCCTGAAGGATGCATTGCAAGTTCAGTAAAAGTCCTACAGTCACAGCTGCACGCCTTTGTGTGGTCAGAACTTAATAGTAAAGCCCAGTCACAACGCATTATATAATATATATAATACCGCATCACTCGACCGCATTACATTCTGTCGAGTTAACTCGACAGAATGTAAAAAACTGAATGATGATGATGATGTTGATATTAATAATAATAGGGGAATGTTGCAATATAAAATTATAATAATAATAATAATAATTTGTAACATTTTGTCTGGTTACATAATGCAGTGTTATTACATAATGTGTTGTTTCATTTCATTATATTATAAGAATGTATTATGTGATGAAAATTTGTTATAAGCCCTCAGACTTATGGTTCAGCATTTGCAAGTTTGGAAGGTCATTCCTGAACTGAGAATTATAAATTTAACAGGACAGCGAAGAGGTTGAATGCAGAACTCTAAGTCCAGCAATCTAGGTGTCACGCGAGTTCCATGATACATGGAGCATGGAAATTACCTGAGAAAACACTTCACCGGATGAAACTCCACTTAGCTGGTCCCACCTGCCATGTTTCAACATGATCGGCCTGACAGCTAGTCATGAGGAAAGTGCAGGCCAGTGGTAGACTTCCAACTGCCTCTGAGTTGAATAACTATTGTATTGCATGAATTATATCTAGTATAAATTAAATATTTAATAGAAAACTACCGTGAATGAAGTCCATTAAAAAAACTAACAATTCTAACACTAGAGTTATGAAATTGCCAGCAGATTTTTTCGGCATGCTTTGACTGAACACGGCAAAATGGTTCGCATTACCAGGTAGTGAATATACAGGTGTAATTAAACAGCCAAAGCTAAGTGTGTCATGTCCCAGTGTAGCTTCTCTTTGCTCATTAGACTAATAGTATCACGACGAAGAGCGATCAAACTCACTTTGGAGCAAAATGATCACTATCTAAGCCTGCTCTGGATTCTGTTTTGCCTTGAAAGCGTATGTTTCTCATGACATTTTCAAATTTTACTCACACTGAAAATCAGCCATTATCCTCAATTGACTGAATGATTTACTGGCATGCGAAATAGCAGCCATTGGTTATTGAATGTATATACAAGATCCAAAGGGGAAATTGACTCTGAAAAAGGGCTCATCTTTAATATTTACTGTTTGTTTCAATTGAACCATTCTGAAAAAAGCACATTTGCCTCAAATATTTTTTGATGGAAATGTACTTTTGAAATCTGAGGTTTGAATGATGAAAATGAACCATGAATATGCAAATCAGGGATGATTTTGAATCAAAATAAGAGTAGTTCCACACTAAATATAATATTTCCATTTGAATTGAAAAGTGATACTCATAAGCAAGAATGCAGAGGTGCCTTTGCAGAAATGGATTAGATGAGATCATCTTCTGGTGTCCAGATATATGAGAGGGGTGGAGGGGGTCCTTCATGCACAAAGCCATGTCTGACGACAACCTCCCATGAATCTGGATCGACCCTCTACTATGTTATTTCAGCACATTACTTTACCTACAGTCTGGGGGAGACCAGT